GCAAAATTTCAATCCAAAGTTATTTAAATCCTTCATCAACCGAAACATAAGTCCATATATGTGATCTGTTAATCAACCTTCGCTATCCACGCGAGAGATCATCCCATCCTAAACTCCGGAGATTCTAATTATTTTTGTATATTTTACCTTGCTGTAATTGACACTAATTCTTCTGGAAAAAATGAATTACGAAGCACGATTAACTTCGAAAGCTAAGTAAGATTGCCACTCGAATTGAACCTCTATTTATCCATAGAAACCGCTCAATTAATGAACATTTATATTTCAAAAGCTCTCGTCGTAGATTCCGAAATATCTTTTGTGCTGCACCATGTAACCTATTCTCGGCAACAGAACATAATTAAAAAAACAAACAAACAATTCATATTCAAATCTGAAAGTTCCAATTTCCAAAGACACCAATAAATGGTGTACTTCCACAAATTACAACACGAATCAGAACAAAACAATTATAATCTTACCACTCCGAGAATTGGGCAATGACTCGTCATCCTCGTCCATTTGCGACATGGGAACGGCGACAGACATGTCGTCTTCAGGACTGTTCCGACAAGGCAGCAGCGACGATGGCGGCTGTCGACTCCGCTTGAAGGCTCCGAAGCCGGGAGGAGCCGGCTTCCGGCGTATCTTATAGGAAGTAGGGAAGGACAGAATTGGGTTTTCGAAGCGCGAGATTGAGACTGATTGTATGATGGGTGCGGGTATTAAAATGTAGGCCATGGAGGAATATTTAATTAAGGACACTAATTCGGGTTAGAAACTTAATTGTGATTAATCAGAAGGGAAATGACTTAACTGACCCTCTTCTTCTCTGCGCCAGGGCGGAGATGTACGACGCGTATCGGGGCGATATCAATTATCGGTTGCCTTTGCGTGGCCGTGGGAGTAGGGCGCCAAAATCTTTGCTATTTTTATTGTGCTTGGAGGATAAAATGGGGTTTTCATTATTTCTTTTAATTTTTTTTAATAAACCCAAAATATTGGGTTAACCTATAATTTAATTATTTTCTAGTTGCGAAATTATTTATACAAAAATTTATTCATTTCTATTAGAATAACAACTGAAATTAATAACTCCGAGGAGAAAGTAATATTGAAATATTAAGTTCACTTCTAAATTTTATTTTGGTTTATATTCTCACTAAATTGATCACACGAGTTGATCAGTTCTTAATAAACTGAAAACAATAAAATTCCGAATTTCGCCCTTACAAAATCCGTATTTCCTCAACAGCCCCTCTCTGCAAAACCCCAATTTTTCCAGAACCCTCTGTGATCCCTCATTCTCCACCTCCACCAGCGCCTGAATCCTAACTACCTCCGGGAAATCTATCAGCGCCGCCGGAATTGCCACCCTCAGTGCTTCCGTGGCTATCCCTCTTCCCCAGTGCTCTGCAGCCACCGCATAACTGATATTCGCTCTGCATTTCTCCTCTGATTCCGGCTTGACCGAAACGTACCCGACGGAACGGCCGTTCAGGCAAATGGACCGCCGCCATGGATGGGGGATTGCGACCTTCTCTAGGTAAGCTAATGCTTCTTCTTTGGAGGTTATTGTGTTCCATCGGAGATAGCGGGTTACTCTGTCATCGCCGGCCCACCTGAGAAAGTCGTCGGCGTCGGAGAGATTGAACGGGCGGACGGAGATTGTTGATGGGTTCATTGGGCAATTATGGTTGAAGACATTGGGACTAAAAAAATGGTATAAGTAGTCTGAATTGGACGGGAAATTGGACAGATTGAACAAAATTGTTTGTCCATCGATCAAATTTCTCACTTGGTCGGCTATGGCGGCTATATATATATTTGAACATAAATCAAATAAATTCATAACAAGTTTCTAATTATCCTACCAAAAACAAACCAATCATCAACATACGAGAGATCAATTAACAAATAGTAAACTTGGAGTCCACACCAAGCAAATCAATTTTGACTCTCTAGAACGAAAATTCCGCCCACCTTCTTCCTCCATTTCTCCTCTCTATATAACTCCCCACTGAAATCCCCAGCACAGCAACTACAAACCTTACAGCCATGGAAATTACTCTCCGGCCACTAGATCTCACTGACATCGACGATTTCATGGCTTGGGCATCGGACGAGAAAGCAGCTCGATCCTGTTCCTGGGAGCCCTACCAGGACAAATTGGACGCCATAAAGTATATCAACGACCAAGTCCTGTCGCACCCCTGGTACCGAGCCATCTGTGTCGACGGGCGGCCGGTTGGAGCGATTTCGGTGACGGCGAATGAGGCAGCGAGGGACCGGTGCAGGGGAGAGCTAGGGTACGTATTGGGATCCAAATTTTGGGGGAAAGGGATTGGGACGGCGGCGGTGAAATTGGTGGCGGAGAGGATTTTCGTGGAGCGGCCGGAACTGGAGAGGTTGGAGGCGTTGGTGGATGTGGAGAATTTGGCGTCTCAGAGAGTGGTGGAGAAGGCCGGATTTCAGAGAGAAGGCGTTCTGAGAAAATATGGAGTGATGAAAGGGCAAACTAGGGATTATGTAATGTTTAGTCTTCTTTCTACTGATCTCGAATAATTTAAAATAATTATAGAATATTAATAGTTAATCATAAATAATTTAAAATATTAATTATGAATGTATTAGTTTTTTTTATAATAAAATATGTATTACCTAAAATTTATAAAGTCTAAATAGTATATTGATATTGAATAATTAATTTTTTAAAAATATGTTATATTTTTTATTGTTCTATGTGTATAAAAATCTCAGGAAGAAATTCAATAATAATGTAGTTTTAAAAGTAAATTGTAAAATTAGGGTAGTTTTTAAAATAAAAATAAATAATTGGAACACGTGGCGTTTTAGAAAATGGTTTCCCGTATTATTTTCAAATTTTACTGGGCCATGACCAAAGGCCCAATATATTTTCAGTTTTTTGGGCTGACCAAAGGCCCAATTATAAAGACTTGAAATTACAAAACTAGCCTCGAAATTCAATTACAATTAGAACTGAAAGGAAAAAAACTACTGCACTGCTAATGGATCCTCTCTCAGCTCTCAGAGAATTCACCATTAGAGGCGAGCTCGACAAAATCGTCCGCGTCAACGACGAGTTCCGTTTCGCCTCCGACTATTCGTTCCCTTGCGCCGCCGAAACCGCTTACCGCTCCAAACAGGGCAATCTTTACACACTCGAAACCCTCGTCTATTACATCCAAAATCACCTTGTCAAGCACACAGAGTATCTTCAGAACGCTCGCACGCAGGGAGTTACTTCGGTTACTTTCCCGGACCGGAAGCCTTTGCTTGATTATCTTACTGGCAAGGTCTCCTCCTCCGACGCCATTGAGCTTCTTGTCCACCAAAATCCCAAGTTTCCCGATTTGCCCTCTGCGAATGAGTATCGCCCTGAAAACCCTGTGGTTGTTGGCGCAGCCATCGATGCGGTCGATGAGGTCGACGGTTTAAAGGATTCTACCAATGTGAATTATATGGCGATGATTACGGCTATTGAGAGACCGTTGAAGGACAGAGAATCGTTGTTGGAATGTAAGAATAGGAATTTCTACAACGTGCTTGTGGCGTCGACGAAGCGCGAGGAGGAGAGGCAGCGTCTTGAATCGCAGCAGAGGAAGGATGGTTTGGTTGCTAAGAGTAGGTTAATGGGATCCGATGACAGGGGTTTGGTGGGGTATGGTGATGATTTGGGTTATGATGCGAATCCGAAACCGAAAATGCATTTGAAGGGAGGAAAAATTGGTGAAGGTGTGCCAATAATTCTGGTTCCGAGTGCTTTTCAGACTCTAATCACAATATATAATGTGAAAGAGTTCTTGGAAGATGGTGTTTATATACCCACGGACGTCAAGGTTAAGCAGATGAAAGGGGTGAGGCCTGAATGTGTGACCGTGCAGAAGAAGTTCAGTAGGGATAGAGATAGAGTGGTGACGGCGTACGAGGTTAGGGACAAACCCTCGGCTCTGAAATCAGAGGATTGGGACCGTGTTGTAGCTGTTTTCGTATTGGGAAAGGAATGGCAGTTTAAAGATTGGCCCTATAAGAACCATGTTGAGATTTTCAATAGAAGTAAGTGAACTATTGATCTCAAATGGGTTGTTTTTGTTTCTTAAAACTCTTAAGTTTCATAAGATCAAAAGTTAATCTGATGTTTGTGGATTGAATATCTTGCAGTTATTGGATTTTATATGCGATTTGAAGACGACAGTTTGGAATCAGCTAAGAATGTGAAGCAGTGGAATGTTAGAATTATTTCGGTAATCTTCTATGTGCTTATTTCTGTTTGCATAGCCAGCCCCCCTTGTAGTTAATTCTTCCCTTTTGTTCTTTCGCAACGGCCTCTAGTAATAAATAATGTTTCCTTATACAGATTAGCAAGAACAAGCGGCACCAAGACAGAGCTGCAGCATTGGAGGTGTGGGATAGGCTAGAAGAATTTGTGAGGTCACGGTCGCATTCTTGATGTGAGTTCCATGGTGCACCCCCCCCCCCCCCCCCCCCCCCCCCC